CTGTCTTCACATGCTATACATGATTTAATAATTTCTTTTGCTTTCGTTTTAGGGGCAGTTTTTAATGAAGATCCTGAATGTTATATTTTGCTGAGGAATATTGAACTAGTATACTATGATATTTTTCACAATTCACGCAAATATTGCAGATTTGATCCTCCAGAAATTCCAAAAGGTTTTGTTCCTCAGCATAAGTTTCCTGCCCCTCTTGAAATTGGCAGCAAGAGTGCTGATGCCCCTCCCCCAGAGGTGCCGCCTCCGGAGAATAACAATCTTAAGGTCTTGATTGAAGGAGTGGCAACTCTAGTAGCTCGCTGTGGAAAATTATTTGAGGATCTCTCTAGAGAGAAGCATCGGTCAAACCCCTTATTTGCTTTTCTTCATGGTGGAGATGGCTGTGATTTTTATGCAAGGAAGCTGTGGGAGGAGTGCCAGAAGCGTGGCAATCAAACCAAACTGTGGGAAGGGAAAATGTTTCAGAATTCACATAAGATGTCAGCTGAAAGCCGAGGAAAAGTTTTAGGAGAAAAGGCCCTGCAAAAAAGCACAGAAGATTCAAGCTCTATGATTGCTTCTGCTGATGCTGTTAATCTTCAGTTTAATCTTTCAGATACATTCATTAAGCCTGCTTCATTTGTGAGTGGCTCATATAGTGGGAGCTTTATGGGTTTGAATGGATAGTTGTTTTCTTAGTTGAATATTCTTACAATATGGTTTTTAATTCTGCCTTCAAGTTGGTAATATTGAATTTTTATTTATTTATTTATTTATTTATTTTTATTCTGTTATAAACTTTGAAAATAGCATGAAGTTCTGGAAATTGCGAAACCATTCTCTGATGATCCTGCAAAGCAGAAAAGATTTGAGCAGTTCTTGAAGGAGAAGTACCGAGGAGGTCTTCGCTCTAAAGATTCAGGTGGGGCAAGTGGAATGTCTGAAGCTGCTCGTGCTCGTGAAAGATTAGAGTTTGAGGCTGCCGCTATGGCTATAGAGAAAGAAAAATTGGATAAAGAAAGCAAGGCTACCAGTCAGTTGCTTAAGGATTTGACAGCTTCTGCAGGATTGCAGTTTACTACCAGTGGAGTGGAGGTATTTATAATCTCATACAAGTTCATAGTTTGATCTTGCAATTTAAACCTCGTATTGTAAACTTGAATATCTGTAACAGAAAGCTCAAGTTCAACAAGATGAAGAATTGATGCCCAAAACGATGTATCCAAAACGAGAAGAGTTTCAATGGCGACCCTCACCAATTTTATGCAAGCGATTTGATTTAACTGACCCTTACATGGGCAAGGTATGCATTTTTAATTACACCAAGGTTTGCTGTTTTTTCTTTATACTTTTGGTTGAATGATTAGTATTTTGTTGTCGAATATCATTGTTATATAAAGCAAATGGATTCCTCTAGCTTCAGTTTTCTGATAGCATGGTTGTAATTGTCATTAACACTTACATCTCGTAATAATTGTTAGGAGTCTTCCTCACCACATTTAATTGTAGTTCAAATGTTGCATGAGCATGATTGTTGCCATTCACATGCATCTGCTAATGTGATTATATCCATCTTTTTCTCTATGGTTTTATGATTAATTAATGCGAGCATGTAAAATCAGTCTACACATGGAAGTTGGACGAGAAAATTACACTGAAGGTTTGGTTCCACTGTTATAGATTTATAGTGGTATTTGTCTCCATTATAATCATAACAAAGCCAGCGTAGGCTGTAAAATTTCACTGAAGGTTTGGTTCCACCATTGTAGTTGTATTTATCTCCATCAAAATCATAATAAAGCCACAGTAGAATTGAAAAAGGAAAAAGTTATATATTCTGGGTTTTCATGCGTGCTCACACATAC